TGTATTCTTCTGGAAGAATACAACAACTGCAACATTTGGTGCAGAATACAACAGCTGATCGACCAGATATTGTATTCTGGGTGCACAGAATATGATCGACCAGATATTGTTTCGACAGTCACTTGCAGAATACAACAGCTGATCGACCAGATATTGTATTCGACTTGCAACATTCAACAGCTTTTCTGGTGCGCACGGTAACACTTGCAGAATACAACAGCTTCGACCAGATATTGTATTCTGGTGCACTTGCAACGCTTGCAGAATACAACAGCTGATCGACCAGATAACGCACTTGCAACACTTGCAGAATACAACAGCTGATCGACCAGATATTGTATTCTGGTGCAAACACTTGAGAATACAACAGCTGATCGACCAGATATTGTATTCTGGTGCACTTGCAACACTTGCAGAATACAACAATCGACCAGATATTGTATTCTGCGCAACAACACTTGCAGAATACAACAGCTGATCGACCAGCATTGTATTCTGGTGCGCACAACGCTTGCAGAATACAACAGGTCGACCAGATGACGTTGCAGAATACAACAGCTGATCGACCAGATATTGTATTCTGGTGCGCACTTGCAACACTTGCAGAATACAACAGCTGATCGACCAGATATTGTATTCTGGTGCACTTGGCAACGCTTGCAGAATACAACAGCTGATCGACCAGATATTGTATTCTGGCCAACCAGAATACAACAGCGAATTGTCGACCAGATATTGTATTCTGGTGCACTTTGCAACGCTTGCAGAATACAACAGCTGATCGACCAGATATTGTATTCTGGTGCAGAATACAACAGCTGACCAGATATTGTATTCTGGTGCACTTGCAACACTTGCAGAATACAACAGCTGATTGTATTCTGGTTGCAGAATACAACAGCATCGACCAGATATTGTATTCTGCAGCAAATACAACAGCTGATCGACCAGATATTGTATTCTGGTGCAAGCAGAATACAACAGCTGATCGACCAGATATTGTATTCTGGTGCGCTTGCAACACTTGCAGAATACAACAGCTGATCGACCAGATATTGTATTCTGGGTGCACTTGCAACACTTGCAGAATACAACAGCTGATCGACCAGATATTGTATTCTGGCACTTGAACACTTGAGAATACAACAGCTGATCGACCAGATATTGTATTCTGGTGCACAGCAGAATACAACAGCTGATCGACCAGATATTGTATTCTGGTGCGTTGCAACACTTGCAGAATAAACAGCTTCGACCAGATATTGTATTCTGGTGCACAACACTTGCAGAATACAACAGCTGATCGACCAGATATTGTATTCTGGTGCACTTGCAACACTTGCAGAATACAACAGCAACCAGATATTGTATTCTGGTGCAACGAAATACAACAGCTGATCGACCAGATATTGTATTCTGGTGCACTTGCGCAGAATACAACAGCTGATCGACCAGATATTGTATTCTGGTGCACTTGCAACTTGCAGAATACAAACAGCTGATCGACCAGATATTGTATTCTGGTGCACTTGCAACACTTGCAGAATACAACAGCTGATCGACCAGATATTGTATTCTGGTGCACTTGCAACGCTTGCAGAATACAACAGCTGATCGACCAGATATTGTATTCTGGTGCACTTGCAACACTTGCAGAATACAACAGCTGATCGACCAGATATTGTATTCTGGTGCACTTGCAACACTTGCAGAATACAACAGCTGATCGACCAGATATTGTATTCTGGTGCACTTGCAACACTTGCAGAATACAACAGCTGATCGACCAGATATTGTATTCTGGTGCACTTGCAACACTTGCAGAATACAACAGCTGATCGACCAGATATTGTATTCTGGTGCACTTACAAAACGTGCAGAATACAACAGCAGATCGGCCGATCTTCGTATATAGTAATATCTCAATTATCCGTGTCTTGATTTTCCGGACGTTGATTAAACGGACGTGAAATGAATGTCGATAGCAACATTTCCCAACTGTCAAAACAGTTCATTCTGTGATTTTACATTTCAACACCAGTCTCGTTTCGTTACATTTCGGTATCTTACAGCCATATCACGTTTGAACACCGGGTCTCGTACGATGACCAAAGTTAAGTAATGTCGAGCCTGGTCAGTATCTAGATGGGTGACCGTTTTGGAATTACCAGGTGATTTACAATGACAAAAACGAAGAGGATGAAATAGCCACATCGCCTGATATCAAAGTTGTGATATGTAGATATGGCGCTACAACGCTTCCCCTGTTATTTGTACATCACTTTTTCCGGATGTTGATAAACCGGTCGTGAAATAAATGTCGATGATAACATTTCTCGACTGATGAAACAGCTCATTCTGTGGTTTTACTTTTCAACGTAGACTACATTAAAAAGAAAAACAAAATTCTTTGTACTTCGTTTTGTTGGACTCTGAAATAGCCACGACTTCGAAATGATAAAAAAATAGGTAATTTTATCTGTTTTGGTAGGGTGCATATTTCAGGGCTCCCACGTCGCTACCAAGTGTGGCAAAAGGTCGAATTTTAGAAGGGGTTGACCGGCAATTCGCGAGAAAATTATTTAAGCCCTCGCGGTACTTCCACTTTTAAGGATGCTACAGGCACCAGATAATGTCCTCAGCCCCCCCCCCCTGCTGAAGGAGAGGTACTGCCTGGTGCCTGTAGCATCCTTAAACTTGAAAGTACTGCGAGGGCTTAAGTAATTTTCACGCGAATTGCCGCTCAACCCCTTCTAAAATTCGACCTTCTGCCACATTTGGTAGCGACGTGGGAGCCCTGAAATATGCACCCCACCAAAACAGATAAAATTACATATTATTTCATCTCTAGCTGAATGAAGACGAGATGAATTTATGCCTTTCCAGGTAGGAATAGTGTGAAGTGCACACAACATCTTCCATCAGAATTTGAACTCGGCTTGCCGGTTTCATTTTCAGAAAGTTGAGACGCCCCTTGCCCATCAATGTTGGCGTAATAGTGGGGAAAAAAAATAACCATTTTTATCGAGTTGAAAGTGACAGTCAGTACACTGGTCAGTCATTCTACGCTTTCGATGTTTACATACCTCGCTATGACAGCAGTATTTGACACAAAGGTCACTTGAACGTAAGGCACCAAAACGTGTACATATGAGCCATTGTTGTAGGCTTTGTTTTACAGAGCGAACCAGTGACCGGTTTCAATTTTAATAAAGCTAGCGATCGTCACAACTTGAAAAACGACTTTTGAAGTGTCTAAAAATGAGAGGCAACCGTTTAGTTTCGTGTCAACACGACATGCGGGGGTGGGTGGGGGTTGTTTTAGGAAAGATAGGGAGAGAGTGGGATAGAGAGGGAATGGTAGAGAGAGAGAGAGAGAGAGAGAGAGGGGGGCAGAGAGAGAGAGGGAGCGGATGTGAGAAGAGACGCAAATGATCCACTTCAAAGTACTTGAATTAGACACAGAAAAGTTGAATATGTCATTAAAGTGATTTTCGTTTTCTCTTTCTTCACCAATTCCCACCCTGTTCTTTCTTTCTTTTTCTGTCTCCCTTTCTTTGTTTCTTTCTTTCTTTTTCTTTCTTTCTTTCTTTCCATTTCCGACATTTTTCTTTATTTATTTCTTTATTTCTAGTGCAAATATTCTTTCTTTCTTTCTTTCTTTCTTTCCACTTTTGAATATTATTTTTTTCTTCCTTTCCTTCCTTTCTTAATTCCTTCTTTCTTTCTTTTTTCTCTCTTTCCATTTCGAACATTCTCTCTTTCTTTCTTTCTTTCTTTCTTTCTTTCTTTCTTTCTTTCCACTTTTGAATATTATTTTTTTCTTCCTTTCCTTCCTTTCTTATTTCCTTCTTTCTTTCTTTTTTCTCTCTTTCCATTTCGAACATTCTCTCTTTCTTTCTGTCTGTCTGTCTTTCTTTCTTTCTTTCTTTCAATTTTGAATATGGTTCTTTATTATTTTCTTTACTTCTAATGCAAACATTCTCACTTTCTTTCTTTCTTTCTTTCTTTCTATTTCCAACATTTATTCTTGGTTTCTTTCTTTCTATTTGAGCATTTCAAATATACCTTCTTTCTTTCTTTCCCTTTCTAATAATTTCTTTCCTTCTTTCCACTTTTGAACATTCTTTTTCTTTCTTTCTCTCCTTCCTTCTTTCTTTCTTTATTTATTTATTTCCAACATTCATTCTTTTTTCCATTTCTAACATTTTCTCTTTTTCTTTCTTTCTTTCCATTTCGAACATTCTCTCTCTCTTTCTTTCTTTCCATTTCCAACATTCTTTCTTTCTTTCTTTCTTTCTTTCTTTCTTTTCTTTGTTTCTATTTTCCACCATTCTTTCTTTGTTTCTTTCTTTGTTTCTTTCTTTCTTTTTTCTTTCTTTCTTTCTTTCTTTCCAACATTCTTTCTTCCATTTTTCTTTTCTCAATTTTCAGCATTCCTTTTTCTTTCCAGCATTCTTTTTTTATTTATTTCTTTTTCCTTTCTTTATTTCCTTTTTTTTTTTTTCACTTCAAAACGTCAAAAAAGTAAATCTAAACTGTTCAACGTAATAATATGGCTCTTCCCAGCTCTACAAGAAATAAATGGCCTGATTAGTTATAGACCAAAAAGAATTTAATAACAGGTTAAAAAATGTGGGTGTATTTGTGAAACTATAAAATAGCGAGTGGGGAAGAGATAGGAGGAAGGTAGAAAGAGAAAAATTGGAAAGGGTGTCAACACATTCTTATTCTTCTATTTGGCATATTCCTTTAGAACATAGTTCGATCATCACTCTCCCCATCTTCCTAATCTTTGTAATTCTTTGCGATGTTTTTTTATATCTCTCCTAATCCCTATTCTGTCATCTATTTGCACAACTTCGTTGGATAGGTTATATTGTAGCTTAGATGTGACACGAGGCCGAATGTATTGAGCATTCTGTGAGATCGAACTCTCTACTCAGTATTTACCCAGGACCTCAGTCCTAATTGATCTAGCAAGTCAAGCTTGTTAAGCATTACACGATGTTGAAGTGCCTAGAAGAAGAAGAAGAAGAAGAAGAAGAAGAAGAAGAAGAAGAAGGAAAAGGAGAAGAAGGAGGAGGAGAAGGAGAATGTGGAGGAGGAGGAGGAGACGAAGAAGAAGGAAAGGAAAAGGAGGATAAGAAAGAAAGAAGGAGGATAAGAAGAAGGAGAAAAAGGGGAAGAATAAGAAGCAGGAGAAGGAGAATAAGGAGAATTGAAGTGTCAAGAAGAAGAAGAAGGAGAAGGACGAGGAAAAAGAGGATAACAAACTTGAAGTGTAAAGAAGAAGAGGAGAAGGAGAAGAAGAAGAAAAAGGGGAAGAAGGAGAAAACGAGGATAAGGAAGAAAGAAACAAACTTAGAATTACGTAAAAAACCGAAGGGCAGCGGAAGAAGAAGAAGGAGAAGAAGGGGAAGAGAATGTGGAGGAAGAAAAAGAAGGAGAAGGAACTTGATTAAGAAAAGGAGGGATAAGAAAGAGAAGAGTGTCAAGAAGAAGAAGGAAGAAGGGAGGAAGAATAAGAAGCAAGAGAAGGAGAAGAAGGAGAATGACGAAGAAAGGAAGACGTAAGAAGAAGGAGAGTAGTGACGAGTAAGAAAAGGCGGATAAGAAAAAAGAGAAGAAACAAACTTGAAGAAAAAGAAGAAGAAGAAGGAGGAGGAGACGAAGAAGTAAAAAAAAGAAGGGGAGGACGAATAAGAAAAACGAGGATAAGGGAGAAGAAACAAACTTAGAATTACGTAAAAACCGAAGGGCAAAGAAGAGGAGAAGGGAGAAGAAGGGAAGAAGAAGAAGGGAGGAGAATGTGGAGGAGGAGGAGACGAAGAAGAAGGAAAGGAGTGACGATTACGAAAAAGGAGGATAAGAAAGAGAAGATACAAACTTGAAGTGTCAAGAAGAAGAAGGAGGAAAGGGAGGAAGAATAAGAAGCAGGAGAAGGAGAAGAAGGAGAATATAGAGGAGAAGAAGGAGGAGGAGACGTAGAAGAAGAAGGAGAGTAGTGACGAGTAAGAAAAAGGCGGATAACAAACTTGAAGTGCCAAAAAGAAGAAGAAGAAGGAGGAGGAGACGAAGAAGTAGAAAAAAGGGGGAGGAGGAGTGACGAGTAAGAAAAACGAGGATAAGGAAGAGAAGAAACAAACTTAGAATTACGTAAAAAACCGAAGGGCAGCGAGGAAGAGGAGAAGGGGAGAAGAAGAAGGGGAGAAGAAGAAGGAGGAGAATGTGGAGGAGGAGGAGAAGGAGACGAAGAAGAAGGAAAGGAGTGACGATTAAGAAAAAGGAGGATAAGAAAGAGAAGATACAAACTTGAAGTGTCAAGAAGAAGAAGGAGGAAGGGGAGGAAGAATAAGAAGCAAGAGAAGGAGAAGAAGGAGAATGTGGAGGAGAAGAAGGAGGAGGAGACGTAGAAGAAGAAGGAGAGTAGTGACGAGTAAGAAAAAGGCGGATAAGAAAGAGAAGAAACAAACTTGAAGTGCCAAAAAGAAGAAGAAGAAGGAGGAGGAGACGAAGAAGTAGAAAAAAGGGGGAGGAGGAGTGACGAATAAGAAAAAAGAGAATAAGGAAGAGAAGAAACAAACTTAGAATTACGTAAAAAACCGAAGGGCAGCGAGGAAGAGGAGAAGGGGAGAAGAAGAAGGGGAGAAGAAGAAGGGGAGGAGAATGTGGAGGAGGAGGAGGAGGAGACGAAGAAGAAGGAAAGGAGTGACGATTAAGAAAAAGGAGGATAAGAAAGAGAAGATACAAACTTGATGTTTCAAGAAGAAGAAGGAGGAAGGGGAGGAAGAATAAGAAGCAGGAGAAGGAGAAGAAGGAGAATATAGAGGAGAAGAAGGAGGAGGAGAAGTAGAAGAAGGAGGAGAGTAGTGACGAGTAAGAAAAAAAAATGGATAAGAAAGAGAAAAACAAACTTGAAGTGCCAAAAAAAGAAGAAGAAGGAGGAGGAGGACGAAGAAGTAGAAAAAAGGGGAGGAGGAGGACGAATAAGAAAAAAGAGAATAAGGAAGAGAAGAAACAAACTTAGAATTACGTAAAAAACCGAAGGGCAGCGAAAAATAAAAAGAGTAGGGAAAATTAGACAAAAGAAATTGACTAATATAAGAAAGTTTAAAAGAAAGAAAGAAAGAAAGAAAGAAAGAAAGAAAGAAAGAAAGAAAAAAAAAAAAAAAGAAAGAAACTATGTTATAAGTACGTGATAAATAAGAAAGGTGCGTGTGTGTGTGAGAGAGAGAGAGAGAGAGAGAGAAGGGGGGAGTCAAAGAGAAAGAGAGGAAGTTCGAAAAGCCTTCAGGGTTGTAAAGTGCAGTGAAAAGAATAATAATATTCCTAGAATATTTTTTAACTAAGAAGCAATGACTAAGGACTCATGTCGTAACAAATTTCATTGGTTCTTTCTTTACATCTCTTCAGATCAAATGCTTAAAAAACTTTTGATTAACGTTTCTTTATTTATCGCAACACTCTCTCACCGTCTTGCTTTAGAGGAAAACACGCGTGTGCGACTTTCTTCATAGACACACAGGTGGACAGCTTTCTTTATAGAAGCACACAGGTGCGAGACTTTCTTTCATTATAGAGGTGCCTCGGGTGGAGTAATTATTAGCAAGGCTCGTCTACTTTGGACATCACCACTGAGCAGTGATTTCAATCCTCACTAGGTGCCTCACAAAGAATTCGACATTAAATAACCTAACAATCTTTGAAAAGAATCGAAATCAACAAACACTCGCTATAGAACATAGTTCAGTACCTTGTATGACTCAAGACCCTCCCTGCTAATGCTCTATCTTTATAAGATTGATTTGTTTTGTTTTTTTGCTGGTTATTTAAAGTCAGTAAACATTTTTAGATTGTAAAAATGTTTAGATAGTAACGTTTTAGTGATACAAGTCCTACTAATTAACCCATAGCTGGGGGAGAAGAGGTAGATTCATATCTTTCCTAAAGGTATTTGCTCCTAAGTATATATAACGAACCCAACTGGAATTGGAACTCGGCACTCAATTTAACAATTTCGTGACATTATTCAATACACCACCCGCACATCCAAGCTTACAGCACCTGGTATTCCCAAACGGTCACCCATCTCAATACTGACCAGAATCGACGTTGCTTAACGTTGTTGATCGTAAGGAAATCGGTATGTCAACGTGATGTGGACGTAA